GTTTACATTACACATTTTATATAAACATCCAATGTTATTGTTTCACTTTAAACAAACATATATCCATTTACTTTGCTTAATTTGGCAAAAATCTAATATTTAATCAGAGCAAAAAAATATCGACTTTCTCACCATGTCACGTGACACCAGTCAATGCGGGATAATTGACATTTTTTGTCATTCCTGACTGCAGCAAAATTGACATGTCTGAACAATATTCAAATGTTTTTGAAAACTTTTAAATATCGCGTGCATCTTAAAAAATATAAAAAAACTTATTGTTCTGATCTTTGGTTGTATCTTTCAAATTTTCATCCGACGCTCGCTTCACGTAATTTATCAGGAATTGATTTTTAACCACTAAATGCCTTGATTTATTCTGACTGTAATTGCCAGTTCTAGTGATTCGATCAGTTTTAGTTTCATTGACGCCATTCGATTTGTAAATAGTTATAAAAAAAACATTTGATTTTTGTTCAAACAATCCTCAAAAGCAGTGGCATAGATAATGTAATTTTTGGAGGTTTACCTTAATAAACTCGATGGATTAATTGTTTCCGTTAGGTTTGACTAATACACAAACAAAATGCTGCGAACATCAAATTGTTTGGATCATCAGAAGATGATTTGTAACAGAAATAAACTTTACTGTGCTTTTATAGATTACGATAACATGTCGTTAAATCACTATATGAGATATCATGTCATGTCATCTACACCGTCAGATATTTAAAATGTCAATGTGTTTCAAACACTTTCACCGTTGCTGTATTTAAATCTGTTTGTTAATGTAAGCGACTCACTAGATTTTAATAATTTTAGAAGTTGAGAGTTTTTATTATTTAAGTAGGAAACTTGTTAAAACATGATCTCTTTATTTTGCTGTTATCTTTTTTTTAAGAAGACAATCATTGATTTAAAAAAGAGACACATATATGCATAATATACAGTCATTGTGAGAATAACTGAAGGGTATATTGCAAGATAATAATAATACTTTTAACCGCTTTTTTAATCTTATGTTCCTTACAAATACATGCTATCCGATTGATAACATGTCAGAAGAAGCTAAGTAGCAACGCAACACTTACAGGTACCTCTTTCTCGAAACAAAATGCAAAAAAGGACCAATCCATGATAATTTAGTGTAATTCAAATAGCTGCAGGAGTAATTGACGTAAAGTTATCACTTTGTAAGACAATTTGCTTGAATGGCCATATATCAGTTTTGTTGCTGTTACCCAAAAAACTATACATACACATAATTCATGACATTTATTTTGTTTAAGTGTATAAAGCTATTTACCTGCTGCAAAAATATAAGTTTATATTTTAAAAAAGGAGAATACTTCCAAAATGTTTTTATGAAAAAAATATTCTAGTAAATATAATTAAAAAGTAGGTAAATAATGTAAAGATTATAGCTTTATATCATTCAAATAAACACACATGTATGTTTTCCTACTGTTATATTATATACGTGATATTTATTTCTTATCTTAAATTGTGAAAATTTCATAGCTATACATAAAAGGATAATAAAGTAGGTCACTGTGTTCTATTGAGCAATTCAGAACTTTGACACAAGGGCTTTAATTTATACAATTTTGATACAGGCCCACCAGACATCGTTTCATGTCGAATATCTAAGTTCTAACCTTCTCTTATTCAGTTTTTAGTTTCTGTTTTTTTCTACATTGTATATGTGTATGATAAAAAATCAATCAACCCCGGGACGGGGCCAATTTCGAACCAGGGGCTATTTAAACAATCTTGGTAGAGGTCCACGAAACAATGTTTCATACTCTTGCCTTTGAACATTTTTTTAGTTTTTACTGTATACATATCAGGAAAGCCTATGACACCCTGGGATAGGACCAATTTTGGTAATAAAGGTAAAAGTTAAATAACTTTGGTAGAAGACGACTTTAGGGAGTCTGTATTTATCTATTTTATGATCACATCCGTGTTATTTGTGCCGTGTGGCGGCTGTAAAAAGTCTCCCCGTACATTTAATCAATGATGTTATATTTTTGATCCTTGAAGATCGTTCAGCACGACATTATTGTTGTGCTTGTGGTATTTTTAGTTTCAACTTTTCGGCATTTTCTAGTTGGGTGGTTCCAATATTCCTACTTGAATAATGTTGAATCACCCTTAGGATATGTTGCCTGCTTTTTAAATTTGTCTTTTGACGTCTTATCTGTGATACGCAGGCTTCATAACCCCTGATCCCCTTTCAAAATTCCATTTTATTTAGTTCCGCTCATTGTTTTCTCGTTTAGGGCACACGCTTTTTATTACTTGGGGACCATACGCCGCTTTTCATGGAATGGCACGGAAGTGTCACATTGAAGGTTCCATGATAACCGCCGTATGAACACATCTGCGGATGTTTCTAAATTCAAAATTTTACTATTTCACGTTTAAATGTTGAATTCTGCTTAAGCCGGTGCTAGGGGGCGTGGACGGTATCTTGCAATTTCCAGTACCGTCCATGAACAGGCTCAATCAAACCGAGCCTGCAACATTTTCAATTTTGCCGTGTTGGGCTTTCTTTAGGGAGTCTGTATTTATCTATTGCAGATAATATTTCAAACCAAATATCGAAACTCTAAGCATTGTAACTTAAGACAAGAAGATTTTAAGGTTTTTTAAGGTTTTATTCCTACTTGAATACTGTTGAATCACCCTTAGGATATGTTGCCTGCTTTTTAAATTTTCTTTTGACGTTATATTTGTGATATGCAGGCTTCATAACCTCAGATCCCCTTTTAAAATTCCTTTTTATTTATTTCCGCCCATTATTTTCTCGTTTAGGGCACAAGCATTCTTTTACTTGTGGATCATACGCCGCTTTTCATGGAATGGCACTACTGTGTCACATTGAAGGTTCCATGATAACCGCCGTATGAACACATCTGCGGATGTTTCTAAATTCAGAATGTCACCATTTTCGTGTTAAATGTTGAATTATGCTTAAGCCGGTGCTATGGTCGTGAACGGTAACTTGCACTTTCCAGTACCGTCCATGAACAGGTTCAATGAAACCGAGCCTGCAACATTTTCAATTTTGTTGTCAATAACCCCGTGGAGGTTTAACACCAAGGTTATAATTTGAACAATCTTGATAGAAGTCAACTACACAATATTTCATGCCAAATATCTAACATCTTACCTTTGTCAATTCAGAGAAAAATATTTCTAAAGATTTAAATATATTAAAATGAGGAAAACCTATACTCCCTGGGCAAAATTTGAATAACTTTGGTAATGGACCTATAGATATCATATACGGAATTTCAAGACTCATGACCTTGTTGCCACAGACGATAATCTTGTTTTATTTATTAATTTTACTACATTTGTATATGTATATAACATAAATCAATTTCCCCCAGGGAAGTGTCATTTTTAACAACATGGTTATAAATTTAACACTTTTGATCCACTACACAATGTTACATGCCAAATATCTAACCTCTAGCCTTTGTTAATTCAGAGGAGACAGCTTTTTAAGTTTTAACTAGTATATACAAACGGAAAAGGCCTATGACCCCAATGGGTGGGGCCAATTTTGACCCTACAGGCAATTGGCAGACTTTGGTAGAGGACCTTTAAGACGATATTATATATATCGATATCAAAACTCTCAGGCTAGCCGGTGCTAGGGGGCATGAACGGTAACTTTCACTTTCCAGTACCGTCCATGAACAGGCTCAATCAAACCGAGCTTGCAACACTTTACAATTTTGCCGTGTTGAGCTTTCTTTAGGGATTCTGTTTTTCTCTATTTTTTTAACCTTATGACCAGAAGAATAAGTTTTTATAGTAAGTACATAATGGAAATCAATGACCCCGGGGTAGGCCAATTTTGACCCCAGGGCTATAATTTGTACAATCAATGTTTGATGCCAAATATCTTACCTCAAGTCTATGACAATCAGAGCAGAAGGTATTTTAAAGATTGTACTATATACATATGAGGAAAACCTATGATAACCCGGGACGGGGCAAATGTTATCACATAGAACAGAGCATCATGGGTAGAGGGACCTACAGATGAAATTTAGTACCAGATGTATAAGCTCGGAGTATTGTATTTTCAGACAACAAGACTTTTTATAATTTGCATTTTTGAAACTCATTTTTGGCCCCACGACCTACTTATGCACCCGACCGGGACAATTTGACAACTTTGAAAGGCGACCACCCAACGATCATTCCTGTAAGGTTTGGTTACTGTGCAGTCATTGGTTTTCAGATGATTTGCTGTTTTAAGTAATTTTTGACGAGGGCGATGGGGGATCGAAGCATTACAATGAGCACCTTGTGCTCAGGTGAGCTACAAAAGATACTAAAACTGTATCTCCTGTGTAAAAGAACAAGTGTATTTGTTTTAACAACTTCAAATTAAGATATAGTGAGTCAGTGGTAATTTTTATAGCCTATATTGGCCATCTTGGACGGCATCTCGAATTTCTCCGTTCGTCATAATTAATACCAATTGATGCCACAAGGTTTTGAAACTACAAACATTTTTGAACATTTTGTTATATTACATGTCTTGGTAAAATGCGGGTCCTGGGAGCCCCTATGAATTGCTAGATTATTTCGTAATTGTCACTCTGTCATATCACAATACTACAGTTGTTTTTTTGGCAGGATCTAGATATCTTTGGACGGATGAAAAAAAGATGACTAATATTTTAGATTATAATATTGTAGATTAATGAAGTTTTTCTCAGATTTTGACGTTCTGGCATATTTCTACGTTTAGAAGGACATTTGTCTGTCGTTCAGTCGGTTGTTTTCCTTTTATAATTATTTTTTATTTTATTTTTTTTTGTGATCGTTTCCAAGGTCTTTGCATATTTTGTGTGATGATTAACAACATATAATAATGAGAATTTAAAATTGTTTACGGCAATAAGAATCATTTAGCCTAGCGATTGGTATTCTCTATTTTAACACGTTTAATATTTTTCTAATGTTTTCAGGCAATTTTAAAGGATTTGAAGTTCAAGTTTTTAATACAAGTTTCGACAATTTCAAAGCCAAACAACGTAGTATGACAGGCAAAACAGTTTGTTATCAGCACAATAACACAAGTCCAGAAAACAAAAAGATAGAAGTAACATGTGATGAATTTCATTATGGGAACTTATTACGACTGCAGCTTTCGACACCCAGACTTCAACTTGTTCTTTGTGATTTTAGAATATACGAAGGTAACATTTGCTACACAAAGATAACATATCTATGTTTATTATTTAACTCGTTCTTTCTCCAAGAAAGAAAAATTGCAAAAATAAATAGTAAAGAAAAAACGATATTTGCAAACAATGTATAACCGGATTTTTATTTACATTATCGTATAATTAATACTTAAAATTATCGCCTTCATTTTTAAATATTGTGTTCGTTGCCTCTGTTAATCACATTGTATCCGAAACAGAGTTAATTTCTGTATAATATACACATGTGCTAGTTATTGATTAAGCTGAATACACATGTACTTGATTTCAGTGGGCATTGCACGCCCAACAAATCTAGAGCTCAAACAAAAGCTTAAGCTTTAATATGAGACTATTGTGCCATTCCATGACAAGCGGCGTATGGTCCCCCAGATTAAATAATGTGTGTGCCTTAAACAAAAAAAAACAACCCCCCCCCCAAAAAAAAATACCTCAAAAATCTAGGCAGAACTCTACAAACTGAATGGAGGTTTGAAAAAGGGGATCTGAAACTTATAGTTAAGGATTCGCCTTACTCGGGGATCACTTACTTTATGTAGACAAAAAGAATATATCTTGAAATAATAATTTTTATACGCCCGTTTGAAAAACGGGACGTATTATGGGAACGCCCCTGGCGGGCGGGCGGCGTCCAATTTTGTCCGGACATTTCCCCAATTTATGGGGTTTTAATAAACTTAAAAATTTAACTAACTTTCCCAATAACCACCCAAGGGTCAAATCTCCCTTTGGGTATAAAAATTTTTCCAAAATTCCAAGTTTTGGGGGTTTTCAAAATTGAAAAATGCCCCTTTGGGGGGTTTCGCTTTAAATTTCACCCTTGGGGCCAATAAAGTACATAGGGTCAAATTCAGATAAAAATATGAAATTTTTTTGGGCCTTTTATCATCTTTTTTGGGGGGTTTTCAAAAAGGGTTTTTTAAAGACAGGGCTGTGATACATATAATTTAGGTCAATATATACAAGGTCAAGGTCACTAAAGATGATGAAATATCCAGATTTTGTAAATAGAATTTAATCAAAGGGAGACAACAAAGTTATTACTTTGTTCATAAATGACTTACACAATTACTCCCTTGATCTATTTTCACTTTCAATTCTAAAAATAGAATTTAATCAAAGGGCATGAAATAATCCTCTTTCTTGGACTTGAGTATGTTCTAAAGAATGTAACATTTAATTACACATGTTTCATTCATTGGTCAAGATTCTTAACTGTGATAACTATGGTGTTCTGTAGACTTGGTATTTGTTCATAAAGATCATACAGTAATTACCTTATCAAATGTAAATACTTTCTCATAGAAATTTAATTATATTTTAATTTTCAAGTAAATATCAGTTCAGCTCATTCAAAGATTAAGAATTGTAATGAAATGTATTTCCCTAGAATAAAATCTTAAATCAGAATTTTTTAGTTATTAAATTACATGTACTTTTTATACGCCCGTTTAAAAAAAGATAAAAATATGAAGATGGGTATAGGGACGATTTAATCATCATTTATTGAGGGATTGTAACACAAATGGTCATTATAATGATTACGGATGTGACACATGTACTTTAGGTCAATATATGCAAGGTCAAGGTCATTAAAGATGGTGAAATATCCAGATTTTGTCTGGAGCATATCTCCTACATGTATGGAAGAATTTTTATAATACTTTATGGAAATGTTCACCACCATGATATGTAATACTCCATGCATGATCCAGGTCTCCAGGTCAAAGGTCAAGGTCACACTTAGAGCTCATTGAAAAACGCTTGTCCGGAGCAAAACTTCTACATTCATAGGGGGTTTTCAATATAACTTGGCACAAATGTTCACCATTGTGAGGCTGAGTGTCGCATGCAAAATTCAGATCCCTGCGACCAAAGTCAAGGTTACACATAGAGGTCAAAGTTCAGATAAAAATTTGAAGATGGTTATAGGGACCATTTAGTCATCATTTATTGATGGATTGTAGCACAAATGGTAACTATCATGACTACAGGTGTTACACATTTAATTTAGGTTAATATTTGCAAGGTCAAGGTCACTGGAGATGATTAAATATCCAGATGTTGTCCGGAGCATATTTTCTACATGCATGGAGGAATTTTAATGTTACTTTTATAGAATTGTTCACCACCATGAGACGTAGTGCCCTGCACATAAACCAAGTCTCTAGGTCAAAGGTGGAGGTCACAGTTAGAGCTCATAGAAAAACACTTGTCTGGAGCAAAACTTCTACATGCATAGAGGGATTTCAATATAATTTGGCACAAATGTTCATCATTGTGAGGCTGAGTGCCGTGCATAAAATTCAGGTCCCTGCGACCAAGGTCAAGGTCACACATTCTGTGCATATCTTTCCTATTGATTTGTTTTAAGGTTCATTTAACAACACAGTGCCAAAAATAAAAACTTGCTTGCTAGATAACACTTATCCATAATGCCCCCATCTCCATTTAAAGCTTTTTCGTAAACGGGCGTATTTTGTGACTATGGCACCCTTGTTATACTTTGAAACCAGAAAGCTTCGATAGTGACATGTAGCATCAGATTATAGTCATTTAGTGCAGCACTTCAGTGTTGAGAATAGCGTATCGCCGTAGCAGGTACTGCATGGAGTGAGTGATGTTGCATATTTCATTATCACTTATGTTGATACCCAATTAAACCGAGCCTGCAATTTAATTTTGCTGTTTTAATGCTTCCGAGGGATCATTATTCAGATATTGCTACAAAAGTGATATTAACCATGACCCAAAGATAAAAATGGGTTCTGTCCTGGGGTCACATACATTATGTAGATTGATGTATTAGCAAACACATCAAATCATTTAGTGAAAGGTAGTGCACAGAGGTCATATATTTGACATGTAGCATAACCTAGTAGATCTCTTCAAAGGCTTAATTGATCAAATCTGGGGTCAAAATGATCCCACAATGGGATTTATTAATACCCTACCGCGAAGCGGAAAGGGGATTATAGGGATGGCCTCGATCTGTCTGACAGTCCGTCCGTCCGTCTCTCCGTCCGTAACACGTTCGTGTCAGCTCCATAATTTTTAAACCGCTGATTTTTCTTTTACAAACTTGGCAAAAGTGATCACCATAATGAGACAATGTGCAGACCGCAAGAATTTGGTTGCTACCCTAAGGTCAGGATGCTTGTGTAGGTGATAGCTCGGATGAATTTGAGCATGGGTCATCTCGGATGAAAAACTAGGTCACCGGAGCTAAAAAAAGAAAAACCTTGTTAACAATCTAGCAGTCAAATTTTTTGTTCAATCATCATCAAACTTAGTCATGATGCTTGTGTAGTTGATAGTTCAAGCGAGTTTTAATATGGGTCAACTTGGATGAAAAACTAGGTCACCGGAGCTAAAAAAAAAGGTAAAACCTTGTTAACACTCTTGCAGTCCCATTTTTGCCTCAATCGTCATCAAACTTGGTCAGGATGCTTGTGTAGGTGATAGCTCGGATAAAGTTGGATATGGGTCATCCCGGATGAAAAACTAGGTCACAGGAGCTAAAACTAGTAAAACCTTGTTAACACTCTAGCAGTCCCAGTTTTGCCTCAATCGTCATCAAACTTGGTCAGGATGCTTGTGTAGGTGATATCTCGAAAGAATTTGAATATGGGTAATCCCGAATGAAAAACTAGGTCACAGGAGCTAAAAATAGAATAAACCTTGTTAACACTCTCGCGTTTACATTTTTGTCTCAATTATCATCAAACTTTGTCAAGATGGTTGTCTAAATAATAGCTCGAATGAGTCCGAACATGGGTCATCTCGGATGAAAAACTAGGTCACCGGAGCTTAAAATAGAAAAAAGCTTGTTCACACTTTAGTGGTCACATTTTTGCCTCAATCATCATCAAACGTTGTCAGGATGCTTGTCTAGGTTATTGCTCCTATGAGTTCAAACATGGGTCATTTCGGATGTAAATCTAGGTCACAGAAGCTAAAAATTGAAAATCCTTGTTAATACTCTAGTTGTCACATTTTTGACTCAATTGTCATTAAACATTGTCAGGATGCTTGTGTAGGTTATTGCTCCTATGAGTTTAAACATGGGCCATTTCGGATGAAATTCTAGGTCACAGAAGCTAAAAATTGAAACTCCTTGTTAATACGCTAGTGGTCACAGTTTTGACTCAATTGTCATCAAATTTAATAAGGGTTCTTAACTAAATAATTGCTCGAATGAGTTGGAACATGGGTCATCTCGAATGAATAACTAGGTCACAAGAGCTAAAAATAGAAAAATCTTGTTTACACCTTAGTGGCTACTGTTTCGATCCAAATATCCTGTTAATTGTTCTGAAAGTTTGTTTCGATAATTTCTCAGAAAATATCGAATATGGGTTATCTGGGATTATAAACTAGGTCACACTGCCCAAATATAGAAAAAAAACCTTGTTAACATTGTAGTGGTCACATTTTTGACTCAATTATCATCAAACTTGGTCAAGATGCTTGTCTAGGTCATTGCTCGGATGAGTTTGATTATAGGTCATTTCGTATGAAAAACTAGGTTACATGAGCTAAAAATAAAAAAAATCTTTTAAACACTCTAGTGGCTACTGTTTTGATCTAAATATTCTGTAAATTGGTCTGAAAGTTTATTTTGATGAATTTTAGGTCAAGTTCGTACATTGGACATCTCGAAAGAAAAACTAGGTCACACCGCCCAAATATGGAAAAACCTTGTTAACACTCTCGTGGTCACATTTTTGACTTAATTATCATCAAAATTTGTCAGGATGCTTGTCTAGGTAATTGCTCGGCTGAGTTTGAACATGGGTCATCTTGCATGAAAAGCTTAATCACCGGAGCTAAAAATAGAAAAATCTTGTTATCACTCTAGTGGCACTCTTGATGATTTAGGTCAAGTCAGAATATGGGTCACCTGGGTAAAAATCTAGGTCACACTGCTCAAATATGGATAATCCTTGTCAACACTATAGTGGTCACATTTTTGAGTCACCTGTCATGAAACTTGGTCAGAATGCGTGTCTAGGTAATTGTTTGGTTGAGTTTGATTGGTCAGGTGAGCGATCTAGGGCCATCATGGCCCTCTTGTTTACTTTATTGAAGATTTTAAATAAACTGACGCAAATTTAATCATCATCGTGAGACTATGTGCTAGTGATATGCATGGTGCAACATCAAGGTCATGGTTGGTAGAGATCAAGAAGTACACATTCATGTTCCCTGCGGAAGGGGATTTAGTTATCCTTCAGACTTCATTGATTAATAATAAAGGGGATATTAAGATAAAACATTTTTGGTTAAGATTCATGAATGCCAGCTCTCTTCCCAATTAAAAGATTTCTTTTGATTGCTCAAATACAGTTTCGCTTGGGCGAATGTTGTCTCGCCTTAGTGATGCTTATGTTACTTGCATGTAGATCTTTTCCCCCAGAAAATAAATGCCATTTCAAGTGTCAAATAAGTAAACAATGGAAGCAAGTAGATTTCTTATTTGTAATGTTTGCATGGATTTATACAACAGTCCATTATCAAGACCACACAGGACATGTTTTAAGTATTAATACACTGTGAGGGGGGTAACTGTTTACGGTGGTAATGAGGCTCTGTCGTGTTTCGCTAAACAGTTACCCGAGAGCTAGATATTCATGTCTGTTCCGACAGCCAGTGTTTGATTCGTTGTCTTGCATATTAAATTTCAATTAATTTTGGAGCATAATTTCGTTACGCACTATTTTCTTTAAGTAGCGAATGAACTTACAAACGTCATTCATAACGGTAGAATGACGTCATCCTTAAAACGCAATATATTCATAAAAAAGCGCGCGGTAATGACCTAATTTAAAGCACGCGACTTGTCTTACATGGGGATGTAAGAAAGGGTTTTCTAGCACCGGTGTTTACGGGAGATAATCCTGTCTGATATGCAAGAAAGTAATAAAATTGCCTATAATTTCAACTGATTATGAGTGTCACGTGAGCGTTAATAAGTTTGCAATCCGGGGCCGAGGATGCATAATCAAAATCGACCCATTGAACGCACGTATGTGCTCAAACTGAAACAATGACGTCATATTTTAAAAAACGTCATCAAAATAGATAGCTGTAAAGTGAGAAAGTAGGTATAGATGGATCGCTTGATTTTTTATGAGAACTTATGTGTATTTTGTTCAAGCACAGTTTTATTGAAATCAAATGAAGCATACGACATTTTCATTACGAGAAAATGAAAATAAAACTTTTTTCTTAATTGAAATGTAAATGTACTTTCTATACACATAAGGGAATCAATTTTGTATCAAATAACTGTACAGTAAAAATCTACAGAGACAGTAATTTTAACGGAAGAAATATCAATTTTTTTTAATGCTACGATTATATCTATCAAGTGTATTTAAGACATTAATACTAGTCATATATGGGCCAGAAGATAATAATCGGCCCTGAAATGAATAATGCTCCCGACTGAATCTCTTTTGGTCATTATTAATTTTGCTGGTCGATTATCATCTTCCGGCTCTAATTTGCCGCGTACTAATTTCTTAATATTAATACTCAAACTGTCCAAAATTTATGAGAATCAACACATCGTGGCGCTCAGCACCTTGACCATTCAATTTTTCTCACATCAAGGACAGTTTATGTGCTTCCCTCTTTTAAACAAATTATAAAAAACAGGAAATAAAACATATGCAATTTTTGCAAAATAAATGTACTTTTATAAAACAATAACACATCCTTTTAAACGAGTAAAGATACATTCATTCAATATGCAAAGGGCAAATAACGTGTATCACATTTTTTATTTAATCTGTATATTAATGAAATAATGGTTACTTTTAAAACAACAATACCGCTGTCTTGAAATTGGAAATGTTACTTTGAAATGTATATCTTTCAACGTTGGTTTTAAGGTACAATACCACAAATGGACACTATAAGAACTGTAGAATTGACATTATAGGTCACTTATATGTATAAAAGCTAAGGACACATGCACGCAAAATTTAAACAAAGTTTACGATATGGTTCACGAGTTATGGACATTTTTATGAACTACAGCTTAGTTATTAGAAGGGCTCTTTTTTGGAAATGAAAAATGTCTTAACAATCTATAAAACCTTCGTTTTCAAATTTTATTATTGCTTTGAAACAAATAACAACATTTCGCTTACTACTAAGAGAGCGTAAATAAAGAAACTCCCTAAAAAAATGAAATTGAAGGACTGCTTTGAAAGTTTCCCTTATATTTTGCAGAACTATATTGGTTGATCATGTAAAATATTTAATACCTTTACGATATAGTTTTGATATAATTACACTTTGAAAATTTCAGGTAACATATTTTTTATTCCATTTAACATTATTCGGCCAATAAATACCAATATTAATTATACATGTATAATTAAAACTCAACACTTCCAGTCTTTCCAAAAAGCATATGAGAGAAACATAAATAATGTTTTAAGAAAGAAAAAAAGTTGACTTTTCTGGGGTTAGAACCTACTTCCTTTCAAAGCAGTTGACAGTAATTATATTTGAATACTCTTTAAGTTGTGGTTACGCATCAGGGATATCTTACCTCAAGATATGCAAAGTACATCATACTGATAATCAAATTTGTTGGACATACATTCTTCACAGGACAAATATATAAAGCAATATGCATTATTCTGTAGGCGATATATCAAAGAACAAATATAACGATTGGTTGCTGAAAAATGAAAACTATAAAAATAATTAACTCACCCTTGGCATTCTTTCTAATTTGGATTTTGCAAATTTGTAGATCAATAGACGTAACTAAGTTATCAGTAACTAAGTAATGCAACCTTCTAACGTAAAACTTTTTTATTAATATGACTCCTTGAGAATTTACACAGTTATACATCATTTTAAAGGATATATAATGAATGAATATTGTTCGTACGCAAAGAAAAATGTTCCGGAACAAAATAAATTATGCTTTAATTTTATTTAGGGTTTTAACCATTTAGTAATGATTCATTTCAACAATAGATCTCTTGTTTTTTTATATTTTAGTTTTTGCAAACAAACGAGCAATAAGGCTACATGCTGTGCTATTGTTTTAAAAAAACGGAATTTCTCTAACTATTACAAATCCAGCAAATTAAAAATAATTTTTGTCCTTTCAAATTTAGTCAATAAGTTGTCTCACTAATAAAAAAGGAATACATGTAATACAAATCATTATTGATATTGAACAACAATAAAAGAACAGCATACTATTCATGTACCCAATCCGCGTAGATTATGACAATGCCGTTTTAGGAAATGGCTGTTAGATTGCCGAGATAACTGTTGTATGCATTCTAAAATTATGAACACATGAAAACTCGCCTTCCCTTTTAAATATAAGATCAACAAATAGCAAACTGTAGATAAATGTCTCATTGTCATTATAAATATCGGATGAAAATGAATTTATCGACACTCTAATTCATTTTGCTAGTTAATAGACTTTGATGTATTTTGTGTCATACACATACACATTGCGTTTTATACAGAATGTGAAAATGGAAATTGGGGATGGAATTGTGATAAAAGATGTGGAAACTGTGACGATATTACTTGTGATAGGATCACTGGTACGTGCCGTCAATGTGAACCCGGGTTTAAACTATCAAAGTGTACCGAAGGTAATAGATTCTTATTATACGGTTGTTCAGAAACGTCATCAACCCACATAACATTATCTGGTTAATAGTATTTGTAAGGTCATTACAAAATCTAGCTACGAAGAAGACTTATTTTTGTGACACATATATGCTCATACCGCGCTGAACACCATTACAACAAAGCTTACAATGCATTGGTACAATTTAGTAAGTTAAATCTTAGAAAACATTTTTACATCCTCTATGTAATCGGTCAATGGTTTGGATGGAAATGAGGAAAAAGTTCTCTAAGTAAATTAAGGCAATAACATTTTCATGTACATATGCAAGTTCGTGACATTCAAGAAAAATTTGCATTTAAAACAAAACCATGGTTACGATTTATCGGTGCAAATATTGTTCAATGTATATTTTTTGTAATATCTCGTCATCTCATTACAATTGGCTGATACTCATTTCTATATGTACATGCATTGCAGCAAAGACTGAATTACAAAAAATTGGTTCTAAACCTTCAGAATTGACTGTTAATGCTTCCTGTCAAAAGCTACACACCGATTTTTGATATTTTCATTTGCCCAATATAGCGTTGCACTTATTCTTTAGTTAAACGTATTATTATCATCCCTATCATAATTATAACTATTAGTGATTTTGGAGATGGTTAATGTTGTTTTTTTATCATCATTTAGAATGTGCCGATTGGACGTATGGCCTAAAATGTGCTCATTCATGCAGCATAAAATGTGGCGGCGTTTGTAATAAGAAAACAGGAATGTGCTCCAATTGTAAAACTGGCTGGAAAGGAGATAGATGCACTGAAGGTTTGTTTCACTTTGTATACTTCATAGTGTTTTGTGTCACGTACATGTATTTTCTTTCCTATTTGTTTCATTCTAGAACTTTGAAATAAATCATTTACGGCAGATTGGACATGTCTGTAACAATATCTGTACCAAACGTTTTTTTTTAAGAAAAAAAACATTATATAATACGATAAACACACGATATTATCTATTTTTGAAATCATAGGTACCCATTGCTTCATACTTTACACAACATCCAAAACATATTCCGAAATATAATCAATTTTAATTATACTTTGACATTAAACAAATTAATCAATACAAAAACATGATCATGTGTTAATATATTAACAAATTCAACATGTATCTGTTCAAGAGGAATCATGACTTAATTCCCTTTTGAAGATCTAATAAAATTTGTATACGCCCATTTGAAAAACGGGTCATACTATAGTTTCGCCCCAGGCGGGCGGGCAGATGGGCGGCGCCAATAATTTGTCCAGAGCATATCTCCTATACGCATGTAGTAATATTAATGAATATTCTTTGACATGTTCATCACTATGAGAAGTTTTGTATTGTACGAAGATTGATAAGAAAGTTTTCGGCCCGATGTACTTCCAGTAATCAGAGAGCCAAACTAATGGTCTTACTTTTCAATAGAATTGCCCTCTACATCAATGCACTCTGCCAACCTGTGATCCAACTTTTTTCAAAATAGAACTCTATATTTTGGTCCTCAAAGAACTCACTGACCGCCTTTATGACACCTTCATTGCTTCCGAAACGCCAACCATGAAGCTTGGTTTTCAGTTTCGAAACCGGTAGAAGTCAGAGGGGACCAAGTCTGGAGAATATGGATGATTGGGATGAATATCAAAGCCGCAATCAGTTGCAGCAGCCATCGCAACTTGGGATGTGTGAGCTGGCGCATTGTCGTCACCTCCTTTTACGCGCGATTTCTTGACGCAGACGTCTCATTTTGTCTGCATAGTATGTACCGTTTATGGAACGACCTTGCTCCAGAAAGTCAATCATGATTATCCCTTGACTATCCCAAAAAATTGGATCCATCATCTTCCCTGTTGATGGCAACCTCTTGAATTTCTTCGGAGGGGCTGAGTCAGGGTGCTTTCACTGCATGTTCTGTTTTTTTAGATTCTGGATCGAAGTGATGAACCCATGTTTCATCCTGAGTTACGATCCGTTAGATAAAATCAGGTTCATCCTCGTAGCGAGACAATAAATATTTTGAAATGTCAAGCCTGGTCCGTTTCTTGTCGTCAGTCAACTGTCTGGGGACTCACCTAGCGGAAACATTTTACATGTCATAGACTTCAGTCAGAATTACCTGAACTGAACCAAAGCTTATCCCCACTTCCCTAGCAAGCATCGCCTTTGTCGCACATGACCAGATAGTGCACAGCTTCGGCAGTTTCATCGTTGATGGCCCTTTTGGCCGCCCAGGCCGCTCATCATCTCCAATTCTCTCCCTGCCACTTTTAAATTCAGCAGCCCATTTTGTCACAGGGGACTCCTTCCCAGGTGTATCCAAGAAGTCTTCATTTATTTCCTTGGGGGACATCCCTTTCTTACAGAGGTATTAAATGACAAAACTGATTTCAACTTCATCCATTTTGTCGAAATGACGCACCCCTCTACTGATCAAAGTTTTTTTTATGTTACATAATCTGTGTAAAACCGCGTGCAACTCGGTTAGTAATCTTCAATAAGATATCGGTATCGACGTATTGTATGTAAATTTCAGTGTAGTGGCTAGAAGTATATCGGGCCGAGAACCTTTTGATCATACCTTGTACATGAACCATGTTTCTAGGTCAAAGGTCGAGGTCACACTAGAGGTCTTTGAGAAACGCACGTCCGGAGCGTAAACTTCTACATTCATAAAGGGATTTCAATATAACTAGGCACAAATGTTCACCATCGTTAGGCGGGGTGTCGCGTGAAAAATATAGGTCCCTGCATCCAAGGTCAAGGTCACGTGTAGTGGTCAAAGTACAGATAAGATATAAAAATGTGTATTCGGACCTTTTAGTTATCATTTATTGTTGGATTGAAGCACAAATGGTCATTATCATAACGACTGGTGTGAAACATGTTATTTAGGTTAATATATGCAAGGTCAAGGTCACTAAAGATGACAAAATATAGTTTGTCCAGAGCATATCTCCTCTAAGCATGGTGGGATTCTAATGAAACTTCATAGAAATGTTCACCACTATAAGAAACATTGTCAGGTGCATGAATTATGTCTCTAGGTTAAAGGATACACCAAACGTCACACTTAGAGCTCATTGAAAAATCCTTGTTCAAATCCGCCTTCCCTATTCATCGGGGGATTTTAATCTAACTTGTTACCATTGTGAGGTTTATTGCGCACACAATACAGGTCCCTGGTACCAAATTTAAGGTCACATAGAGAGGCCAAAGGTTGTGTACAAGGACCATTTAGTCATTTATTATTTCGTAAATTGTAACACAAATGACAAATATCAACAAGTCAATTGTAAAACGTGTAATTTAGGTTAATGTTTGCAAGGTCAAGGTCACTGGAGAATATTCAGATATTTTACAGATATTGCCCAGAGCATATGCAAATTCATGATCTTGCTTAGTTTACATCCTTACTATAAGTTAAATCATTCAGAATTTTCTACACATTATTTCTACTACTCGATTACACCATTCGTCCTCTGATACATTTTGAAGATGCAATTATTTACCATCTGTATTTTAACTGTCTTCTGCTTATTAATTTTTTATTCCGCCCTTGTCTAGCTAAAAAATAAAAGTAATATTTTCAAGTATTCCTAACGCGTTTTCTTTCTTCCATTGTAAATATATGATATCAGGCTAAATGTCTTTTTTCTTAAACATGTAAAGGTACATCTTCCTTTCAGGAAGGTGAGGATGTTGCTATTTTTATCACACAAGTCTACTATAGCCGTTTCAGTTAATGGCAGAACGTTAAGTAAAAATTGATAAATACTGAAATAAATTCATCCTATTTGTAGTCTGTATAATGATCAAATAGGAAGATTATCTTAAAATATATTTTCGCGATCATTTTAAATTCGTAAAATGCGCAATCGCAACACATTTGCTACATTTTAACATCAGCCGTTTTGTAATGAAACGTATCTCCAAGCGGGCTTTTGATTATAAGACACTTTAACTGTGAAATGCTTTAAACTACTTTTTACAGTATATCATATACATGTAAATATAATTTCCCTTATGGTTACCTTACCATTGATTATTTAGACAAAGAAATGATAACTGATTACACAGAGAACAACTGAATCATAGAAACAAATTATATAATAAAAACACTTGACGAAAAGAACAAAATATTTACAAGTTATAGTCATCCAACAACATAAAAGCTAGGCTTCTATGTCTATAATTGGTGATCTCTTAACTAATTGTTGGAGCTCAAAATGAAATAATATATACAACGTTTGTGCATCTTAAATCAGAGAAGTTGAGCTTCTATGATACAAAGGTCTACGTCCATCAACTAGAGCAATTATATCCTATCTTAATATTCCTAGAGAAGCTGAGCTGAATTACCTAAGGACTCCTATGACCGCAGTTTATCTTCCTGTGTTACCTTCGATTCCAAGTTGAAAAGTGATTTCAAATGCGACTTTTCCTGGCGATATATGAATAAGTAAAGTGCTATCTACTTGATTTCTTCCCCTAATTCAGAAAAAAATAATCTCTTTCCAAAAGTGAAAGATAGTCTCTAAACATAACGATACTAAAATTGAACACAACTTTCTAAATTCAGCATACTTATAGACTCTTTCCCAATAGCAATAACATAGTAATTAACCACTATAACGGAAAAGAAACATTTTACAAGACCTAACTTACCACTTAATCATCATCGATCCTGGACGGCTATATAAAATTTACATGTGCATCACCTGTCTTAATCCAATCACAGCGAATAATAAAATATTACATAATAACACACTAGAGGTAAAAAAACTTCAACAATGGGTGCGTAAATGGGCTCACTCATCTGCCGTGTTTGTCATGTTAACTATTCGTACAACTGAAAAATACTATTATCAATTGTACAAACTCAGTACCAGGTTTTGGGCTCGTGCAAAATAAACGCAGGAAATTGCGATTTTTTTGCTACATGTCATTTTTGATGTATTCTAAGAGTGTACTTTCTTTCTTTCCAAAACAAAATTTTTAAGAAAAAATGCTTTCTTCCGGGCGAGTTTAATACGTTGGGAGTTTTTATTGCATCATACCTATAATAAAACAGGTCAGTTACAGCCTGAAAAACAAAACTTCGCAAAGCAGTCGCCGGAGTATAGGCTAACGTAAATTCAATGCATAGAATGCATGAATCAAAATGTTCGCTTATTATTATGATATTTTCTTATGCATTCTGACCTAGAACAAAAAATATCTCAGAATCTAGTTTCGAACGACTATTATAACTGAATGGAAGAGTGGATCAAGTATTTTTGTTGGCTTAACGTGTTGACCACATACCATCAGGTATTAGGCAAGCAACAAAAACAAAATCGATATCATGTCTGTATTCATTGCTCAACGGCGATTCTAAGCATTTTTGGAATTTCGGAAATGCTTCTTCTTGTAAATAATTGTTGTCAAGAAGGGTATATGCAAATGGCATTTTCAGTTAAAGAGACGCAACTCTTGTTTTACTGTACAGGCGTATTGGTACATAAATAAATTTGTCCTTTCTTTAGAAATTTGTTTCAATTTATCCATCGATTATATTTAAGGCGTTAGACGTACTAGAAAAATCTGGAAAAACTTTTGTTTTTTATTGTACTTGCTGATCAAGAATCTTCAGGAGATTTGCATTTTGGCCTTGCACAGGTGAATGTCGGGCGGCGGGCGGATAGGCGGGCGGACTATCGGGCGGTAGGCGAAAATATTTTCGTAACAGTTTTCTCAGCAACTTCTTCTTGCAGCCTCTTGATATTTGGTAAACAGCATCAACA